ACCTGGATTTTAACCAAAGGCAACAGCTCTGCTCCCATTCTGCCTCTGACCAAGGATCTTGTTCTCCTGCTTTAACTTGCATTTCTCTCCCACCCGTCTTTCTCCCCTTTCTAAAAAGTGTTGTGCCTACCCCCTCTCCTCCCCAGATGGTGGCAGAGGCAGGCATTGGTCCCTGAAGTTGCCAGCCCTTACTTGCCCTATGCCTCAAGCTCTGGGGTTTGCTGAAGAATTCTATTTAGTTGTGTACCACTGTGGTTTCGTAGGCCTGGGAAAGCTTTTTGGCCCTGCTCGCTTCAGTTCAGTTCAGGTGCCCACCATCATGGGTCTTTGAGACGTCCTCTAAGTGACCATTCTATATTGTCCAACATGAGTAACCACTCTTTTCTTCTGAAAGTTCTGTGCCCTTGTCTTTGCAGAAGTTCATCTACCCTATCCACCTATTTCTGAATGTGGTTTTTGTTTGGGTTTAGTCCAGGACCCCTCTCACCCCACCCCGATGGGTGTTACTCATGTAGACTTAGCTGTCATCTTCACATTCGACATAGTTCCTTTGTGTGCTCAGTCCTGTACAAGGAGCCCCTCACTCCACAATTAGAGATGAGACTTAAAAGCTAAATGTTCCTACCACTTCATATCTTCTAAAACGGCCTTAATTTAAAAACAAAAGAATATAGCAAGTGTTGGCAAGGATGTGAGAAATTGGAACACTGTATATTGCTGATGGGAATATAAAAATGCTGCTGTGGGAAAATGTTTGGTCGTTCCTTAAAAAGTTAAAATGGAATTAGTACACCAGCCAGTGCCTTAGTCCGTTCATGCTGCTATAACAAAACATCTTAGACTGGGTAATTTATAGTAACAAAGATTCATTTCTTACAGTTCTAGAGGCTGGAAGGTCCAAGATCAAGGTACCAGCAGGTTGGGGGTCTGGCAAGGGCTCCCTGCTTCAAAGACGGAGTATATGCTACACTCTCATATGGTAGGAAGGGTGAATACCTCCATCAGACCTCTGTTAGAAGAGCACTAATCCAATTTAACACCTCCAAAGGCCTCACCTCTTAGTACAGTTGTGTGATGGGGATACGTTCTGAGAAATGTATTGTCAGGAGATTTTGTCATTCTATAACATTATAGACCATACTTACACAAACCTAGATGGTATAGCTTTGTACACACCCAGGCTATGTGGTATGGCCTGTTGCTCATAGGCTGTAAACCTGTACAACATGTTACTGTACTGGACACTGTAGGCAACTGTAACACAACAGTAAATATTTGTGTATTTAAGCCTATCTAAACCTGGAAAAATGTGACATAAAAGCTCCATTATAATATGGGTCCACTGTCATATATGTGGCTCATCGTTGACTGAAATGTCATTATGTGGCAAATAATGATACTGTCATATTGATGATTAAGTTTTAACATGTGAATTTTGTGTGTGGGGGTGACACATTCAGACCATAGTACCTAGCAACCATTAATGTATGAATAGATAGACTAAATGTAGTATATCCTTTAAATGGAATGTTATTCAGCCATAAAGAAGAATAAGGTACTGGTACATGCTGTAATATGGATGAACCTTAAAAACATTATGCTAAGTGAAAAAATAAGCTAGATACAAAAGGTCATATATTGTATGATTCCACTTATGTTATGTGAAATATTTAGAACAGGTAAAATCGTAGAGACAAAAAGCAGATTGGTGGTTGCCAGGGGCTGAGGGAGGGAGAAATGAGGAGTGACTGCTTAATGTGAATAGTGTTTCTTTTTGGGGTGATGAAAACATTTTGGAACTAGATAGAGGTGATGGTTGCCCATTATGAATGTACTAAATGCCACTGAATTGTACACTTTAAAATGATTAGCTTTATGGTATGTGAATTTCACCTCAATTTTTTAAAGTTCAGGAAAAAAAAAAAAAAGGCTATGAGTCTGTGAAACAAAAAACCCCAAAATCAACCAAACAAGAAGTAAGTTACAAAAATTAGGGATGAGGGCCGGACGTGGTGGCTCATGCCTGTAATCCCAGCGCTTTGGGAGGCCGAAGCGGGCGGATCACGAGGTCAGGAGATCGAGACCATCCTGGCTAACATGGTGAAACCCCGTCTCTACTAAAAATACAAAAAAAATTGGCTGGTTGCGGTGACAGGCGCCTGTAGTCCCAGCTACTCGGAAGGCTGAGGCAGGAGAATGGCGTGAACCTGGGAGGCAGAGCTTGCAGTGAGCTGAGATGTGCCACTGCACTCCAGCCTGGGCAACAGAGCGAGACTCCGTCTCACAAAAAAAAAAAAAAAAATTAGGGAGGAGGTTCCAATATGACAGTCACTGGCCACATGTAGCTGACTGTTGAGCACAGGAAATGTGTCTAGCCCAAACTGAGGCTTGTGAAATTTACACTGATCTTCAGGGCTTTCATGTGAACAAAATAATGTAAACTAGGCTGGGCGCAGTGATAAACTAAACTGGGCGTGGTGACTCATGCCTATACTCCCAGCATTTTGGGAGGCTGAGGCAGGAGAATTGCTTGAGGCCAAGAGTGTGACATCAGCCTGGGCAACATAGTGAGACCCCCATCTCTACCAAAAAAAAAGTAATAATAGTAAATAAAGTCAGGCATGGTGGTACATGCCTGTAATCCTGGCTATTCAAGAGGCTGAGACAGGAGACTCCCTTAAGCCTGGAAGTTGGAGGCTGCAGCGAGCTGATCCCGCCACTGCACTCTAGCCTGGTTGACAGAGTAATACCCTGTCTCTAAGGAAAAAAAAAAAAGGAAACTATCTCATTAATGATATTTAATAGTGATTACATGTTCAAATGACAATATTTTGAGTACACTGCATTAAATAAGATAGATTATTAAAATTTTTAAAAAGTTGAATGCCCATGGAGACATAACAGAGAGGCTTAAATCCATACCAAAGTCTGCAAGATAAAATGATACCATTTTAAAGCTGGGAAGAAACTTTCAAATATAATCTTTACTTAAAAATAAGTTTTGGTTAGAATGAGAAAGCTGACAAAGGGCGACTAAGGGGGAAACTAGAAAGAGTCCTCACTTTGTGTAGGCCCAGGGGAAAAGGCTAGCCTGGCTGGGGAGAATTATTGGGAGCTGGACAATGTCTAGTCTTTTTGATGCCGTCATTAAACTTTTTTTTGTTTTTTGTTTTTTTTACCTTATTTAATGCAGACTTTCTCTTTAAAAACGCAAATGCGAGTGGGCACAGTGGCTCACGCCTATAATCCCAGCGCTTTGGGAGGCCTGAAGCAAGTGGATCACCTGAGGTCAGGAGTTTGAGACCAGCCTGGCCAACATGGTGAAACCCCGTCTCTACTAAAAATACAAAAATTAGCTGGGTGTGGTGGTGAGTGCCTGTAATCCCAGCTACTCGGGAGGCTGAGGCAGAATAATTGCTTGAACCCGGGAGGCGGAGGTTGCAGTGAGCTGAGATCGCACCAGAGAACTCCAGCCTGGGCTATGAGAAACAAACTCTGTCTCAAAAATAAAAAAATAAAAAAAAAATGCAGCCAGGCATGGTGGCATGTGCCTAGTCCCAGCTACTTGGGAGGCTGTGGTGGGAGGATCACTTCAGCCCAGCCTGGACAGCATAGCTAGACCAAGTCTCTTAAAAAAAGATTGTGAAAAAAAAGTAAGTGCAAGTAAATTAGAATGATTCATAATTAACATTGCAATGAGAATTACTGGTTCACTGAATCAAGAGGAGCTTGGGCAGCTTTCATAGACTGCAGTGCTTTTATAGTTATTCCTATGATCAAAGAAGCAGCGGGGAGCCCCTTAAATGGTCATTTTAAAAGTTTTAAGTTCTCCTGATTGTGTATCTATAGTCAGAAAAAGTGTAAGAGGCTGGGTGTGGTGGCTCATACCTGCAATCCCAGCACGTTGGGAGGCTGAGGCAGGCAGATCACCTGAGGTCAGGAGTTCAAGACCAGCCTGGCCAATATGGTGAAACCTTGTCTTACTAAAAATACAAAAATTAGCCAGGCATGGTGGTGGGTGCCTGTAGTCCCAGCTACTCGGGAGGCTGAGGCAGGAGAATTGCTTGAACTCGGGAGGTAGAGGTTGCAGTGAGCCGAGATTGTGCCGCTGCACTTCAGCCTTCCAGCCTGGGTGACAGAGTGAGACTCCATCTCAAAGAAAAATGAAAGAAAAAATGTGCAAGAGCTTAAACAAGATATATGACCACGTTTATCCCAGTTTGCAAGGACATACTTGGAAGAGGCCACTTTATTTTTTGCCTTTTTTACTTAATTCTCATCTTTCTGTTTTACATTTTTTTCCTGCAGATCAGCAATGTCTTATTTTTCATTTTACCACCCATCTGCATGTGCTTGTTTCGTCAGTATGCAACATGCTTCAACAGCGGCATCTACTTAATCTGGACTCTTTTAGTTGTAGTGGGTAAGTGGAGTCTTTTGGGAACACGGACTTAACAGGGTGTTGGGAGGGTAGAAGGAGTCCCACACACTTCCTGTCCCCTTTGAACATAATGTTTTGTAAACTAAAGTCACCCTGAGGTCTTAGCATACTTTTTTTCCCACTTACTTGATGGCAAAAGGACTCTTGAATGCAGGCTTGATAACAAGCTTGGCATTACTATCACTTGCGTGCATTTGAGACTTCATTTGTGTAGTAGCTATTGGGGCTATGCCAGTGCAATTTTCGGAACGTCTGAAGAAAGTCTTATGAAACAATTGATCTCTGGGGAGACTGGTTTCTAATGGACTAAAATTAAAGAAGAAAATGTAGATGTTTGATCCCTCATTGTTTTGTGAAATACTTGTGTCATTTCCATTTCCTCCCACAGGCAGGCTGGGAATTCTTAACAGTGAGGGACTGTTGAATTTTATTTACTGCCTCTTCCCAGAAAGGCTCAGTGGATGAAGACAGAATGTGTTTAACTGTGGAGTTGTTAAAGTTCTGATGTGCTGATACTTGAGCCCTAGTTGAAATCCTCTTTCTAGACTTGAGGCGTGCATGCCTGGGTGGTGTGAGTTTCTTTCTTCAGTTTCTTTTTTCAGAGGGAGAGAGTGATCTGGTGACTGTGATAACTATTGGTGAGAGGACTATCCTTAAGCAGTGTATTGAATTTGTGTCTCTTCTGTGGTGACCTTTTTTTATTGGTTGTAATTGATTCTAGGAATTGGATCCGTCTACTTCCATGCAACCCTTAGTTTCCTGGGTCAGATGCTTGATGAACTTGCAATCCTTTGGGTTCTGATGTGTGCTTTGGCCATGTGGTTCCCCAGAAGGTATCTACCAAAGATCTTTCGGAATGACCGGTAAGCTTGCACTAAACATTTTTGCATTTACCACTAGGTACAGTACCCAATATAACAATGTATATATGAAGAAAAATAGCACTTGATTGAACTCAGCCTAGTGATGAGCTTATCATATTCTTGTTCAATATCTGTTGATTGTTTTTATGATCTGACAATATAAGTAAACTGACAGATTAGAGAGGGAATTTTAATAATGCTTGGGGAAGAACTGATATAACATTAGGAACAAAAGTCAAATAGTGCCCTTGTTTGATATGAGCAAGAGTGGAAAGACCTTCAGTGGAGGCGGCATTACTGAATGGTTATTCAATACTCTTTGATTTTCTGCTAGAACATTTCCTTGAGACTAATCCAACTCTACCAGTTTTATACATCTGAAGTAGAATCCGGACTAATGAACTGGTTCTTGGAGCTACACTTGTAGTTCCAATGAACTGTAGTTTTCAAGTTGTCTTTTTTTTTTTCTTTTTGCTTCCGATGAGAGCTGTGCACCTGTGTGTACGTGCACACACACACACAGACACACACACTCATATACCGTATATATGTTCAAATTGGAAACCCAGAATTTCAGGAAGGGATGCATTTTAATAGCCATTGTGTTAGGGTTATACAGGTATTCATCCAGTAAATATTTTTCAACACTTGTATTTTACTATGCATTTTTCTAGGCACTGGAATATCACAGTAAACAAAACAGCAGAGTCTAATGAGCTTACACTGAAGTTGGGGAGATTACAAATCAACAAGCAAACAAGTAAATAATATAATGTTAGGATATGTCAGGTACTGTGATAAAAAGTGAAGCTGATAAGGGTATAGTGGTGACTTAGTTTGCTGATTTAGAGTTTGGTCAGAGAAAGTCTTTCTGAGGAGCTATGTGAGGTTTGTTACTATCTAGAGGCACAGAGGAGATTCAGCCCAATAAAGATGAGAAACGCTCCTGGAACATATTACCCACATTTTCTGTAGAACACTGTTTGGTCAAAATATACATATATGGCTAAATAGTCTAAAACTATGGATTCAGTGAAGCAAACGGTATGTGCCCATGGAAGAGTTATATCAGGAAAAGAAAATAATTCTTTACAGTTTTACTGGCACTCTGAAAAGGAACAGGAGCTGTGCAGCTGCTGAGAACTAAGGCTGCTATCTGTGGACTGAAATGGAGAAGCGTCTATGAAAAATGCTGGCTGCAAGGGGCACATTATATAATTGTATATGTGATATCCTAATTTTAGAATGAATGAACTAAACTCTTTCTGAGTATGTTTTTGTATTAGCACAAAAATGCCTGGGAGGTGAGGACACCTAACTACAGCCATTGGCTGTTCTTGGACATTGCAGCAGAGAGGAATAGCCGCTTTTACCTTTCATCTGACTGATTGCCTTTTTTTTTTTTTTTTT